TCCTGCTGTGTGGATGGAGTGCTTTACCATTAATCTTTTCTGTGTCTTGGCGCAGGTGTGAGTAAGCTACTCTAATTTAGACTGGGGAATAGATTGGCCTATCAAGATCAGGTTGTGGGGTGCATAAAGGTGACTGTTACCCCCCCCCCCCCCACAGCCTGGTCTGTGCTTCCTGAGTGTGGCAGGAAGGAATTCAGCTTTTGTGCAACAATTATTAGTGTCTCACTGCTTTTCCTTATCTGAAGCTTTTCAGTACTTCCTGGCCCAAACTGCCGTATGTGGTCCTGTGTGTACCAAAATGGCTATATCTCCGTGACAGATGGCCCAACCTTGACTAAAGCCATTGTGCTACACCAGTGGTCACCAACCAGTAGATTAGGATGTCCTGGTGGATCTTGGAGCCTCTACAAGTGACCCTGACTGGTTTGGCTAAGAGGCTGTCAAGTGTCAGCACTTCAGTTACCCCTGCTCGCACTGCTGCACAGCTCCTGCCCTTTGCCTTGGAGTTGTCCTCTCTGGAGCCTCCTGCTTGCTGTGCAGGGGAGGGTGCTGGTCTCAGGGTGCGCGCCCCCCCCCCACTCTGTATCCTATCTCTACTGAGCAGAGAGGGGGCACAACAGGACCTGAGATGGAGTTTGTTGGGTGCTTTTGGAAGTGGTGCAGGGCCAGGGCAGTGGTGAGCCTGTGTAGTCCCACTGCACCACCACCCAGGAGCTACCTGAGGTCAGCAGGGCCCAGCTGGATCCCAAAACCCTACCCCAGTCACGAACCCCCTTCTGCACCCCTGCATCCAAACACCCTCCCAGAGCCTGCACCTGGAACTCCCTGTGGCCCAACAGCCTGCCCCAAGCTCAGCTTAGAGCCCCTCTCACACTCCAAATTCCTTAAGCCAAGACCAGCTCCTGCACCCTAATCCTCTGCCCCAGCCTGGTGAAAGTGAGGGAGCATGGAGCAAGCAGGGGGCAGGCCCTCAGAAAAGGGGCACAGGAGGCGGGGCAGGGTATTTGGATGTGAGGTAGATCTTGGATGTAATTCAAAAAGCAATCTCGTGCTTAAAAGGTTGGAGACTGCTGTGCTACACAAACACCAGTCCCTGGCTATAGTGTTCTCACTCTAACTAGTTAAGAGACAGGAAGTATCAATAGCCCCATTTTACAGAGTGGAAATAGCAGCCAGAGAGAGATGCATGGTTTATGTAAGCTATCCAGTCTTTCAAACTGCCATGTAGACGTGTTGCTGCCATCTTTACAGATGGTCCCAGAATTCAGAGAGCTTTAGGATGCAATGCATAAAATTGCTTTTTAAAAATAGGCATTCTCATCTTAAAATTCTCCTCAGGTGGTCTAAAGTTTTTACATCAAATGTCTAGGTCGTCTTCTGTGCTTTTGCATTTTGTTGCTTGATCCATGAAAATAAGCCTGGTTTTGGGTGCGTGTGTGGGTATGACTCATGCCTGCAACATTGGGGTGCAAATGCTGCTGGCAAGGCTTGTGGAATGGGAGCGGGGTTCTTCAGTGGATTTAAAACAATTTGTGGCAACATTTCTGTTGCTGTTCAATTTGGATTTAGTGTGATTGCTCCTCAGAGCAGGGATCAGTTTTTGTTGCATGTGTATAGCTCCTCCACACCGTGGAGTCATTAAGTGCTGGCGTTCCAATAAATGGTGTATGGTAAAAGCCTTCTCTATGTTCCTTGCAATGCAAGCATACAAGTAGTGCCAGAGAGAACTCCACACCACTAGGACTCAGGAGTGTTTCTCCTTTCAGTTAGGCAAGTTCTGTAAGAGCCCCCAAAAGCGGTTGACTCAATCATTCACAGCTGGGACCAGTGACAGGCAAGTCTTATCAGTATAGTCCTGTGGGTGGAGCTTAGGTTGCAGAGAGGCTCTGGGACTCAGTTCCCAGCTGGCTGGAGAATGACAGTAGAGTGGAATTACGTCACCCACACTGTGTCTCAGTAGCTGACTCACAGTGGCTTTCATGCTGATAAGAGCAAGTAACCCACCCTCCCAGCAAGCAAGGAGACTGCTGTGCCAGCATCTGCATAGTGGGAGACAGG